TAGGGTTAGTTAGTTTGAGCCACAACGTCTTGCTGTCAGTCAATGGCTTCGCTCATGTCAAGACTGGGGATCTCATGGTCCAGGATGGGCGTGGCAACTTTGGCTGACTGATCTGATTGGGCAGGAATACAGTCCCAACCCATTGGTGGATTCTCCATCTCCGTGCTGAAAAAGGCGTTCAGGTAAGACAACGCCCCTTTTATGACTTGTGGACTTCAACTCCCAGAATTCCTGAGCCAGCATGGGTCAGCTTGGAAACCTCTCCCTTTCCCCTCAGCATGGCTAGCTCAGGAATTCTGGGAGTTGAAGTCCACAAGTCATAAAAGAGCCAAGGTTCCCCACCCCTGTCTTAAACGTTTGCTCCACAGAAATTGCATCCCATGAGGGAAGCCTAGCGAGGGATTTACTAAGGCTTTGGAAACGGTCGTTTGTAAGTCTAACCAAACAGGCCAAAGCTGACAGCTGTTCTTTGCTAAACTCCCCCCCCCCCAAAAAAAACAATGCTGCAAAAAAGAGAAACCAGCGAAGGAGTCAAACTTTTTCCTTCGACCTTCTCCCGAGGAAAGAGGAACGCGACATCCGCCAGGCGTTTTTTGTCCAAATTGGGCACCCAAAGCAAAGGGAAAAAACTGCTGCGGAGTTTTGAAAAACTGCCAGGGCTGCTATGCCCCGCGCAGTCCAGCCTCATCCCACACAGCCACTGTGATGCCGGGCCACTTAACTTGTCCAAAATGAAATATAGGTTGAAGCCCCCGTAGCAGGCGGTGCCCCCTCCTCTCGCTGCTCCCCTTGCCTGCCACAGGGACTATCAGGGCAGCCAGGAAGAGCCACTGCAAGCCCCGGGGAAGAGGTCTCTGCGCTGCACAAGCCATTCCTGAATCCAGGCAGCCCAAGGTCGTAAAGGTCCCGGGGCTTTGCTCCTTTCAAGTACCTTCAGTGGATGGCCAGGTGGCAGCAGCAGCGGCTTCTCAGGTGATCAATCCTCATGTTCAGAAAGGAGCGGAAAAGGCTGTCCGGAGGTGGGTTTTGGGGTTTTTTTGGGTGGTTTCAGATTTCCCTTCTCTGCTTTCCCTCCGGTCCATTTTCAGGGTGCCTCTGCCTTGTGCTTCCAGTGCAGCCGAACCTTGTCGGCCAGGTTATTGGCAACTTAAGGTTCCCTTTGCTTTGCCCCAGATTTGAGGAACGTGGAAGTCTCATCCCCCCTTCTGCCCCCTTCCTCATGAAGGAAAGAGCTGGAATCTGGCGCTGATCCTGGTGCTTCTGCTGAGCCCCGAAGAAGTACCAATCAGAAGAAGTGCCGATCAGCTGGAGCTTGGTGCTTGGCGCTTCTGCTGAGCCCTGACAGCCCTGCAGCTGCAGCCATCTGTTGCTCAGGCTTTTGCAGTGCTTCTGCCAGTTCAATTCATTCCCCTCCCCTGCTACCACTTCTAAGATGGTCGCGTACCACCTCCCAGGTGCCAATGTACCAGAGGTGGTACGCGTACCACCAGTTGAAAAGCCCTGCTCTACTAAACCAAACATGTCCTCTTGTCCATAATTTTAAAGACAGTTATTCTGCTGATTGACAATTGGAATTTCAAGCCCCTTCACATGTTTTTTTTCAACATTCTGTTGAGATTGGGAAGAATTTTCAAAAATTGAATCTTTCTACTTATAGATTTAGTTATTACAAAATCAGTTTAGCATCACTCTGTTGCAGGGATGAGCCATTTTATGGTAGTGCGGCATATTTTTGGAGCAACAGTACTTATAGTAACAAAATAATGGGTGGAGGTAGTTAGGAATTTTTTTGCTTTCTACTCATTGGATGAAAGTACTTTTTAAAAATTATATTAAGTGTCTTTTAGTGCTTTCAGAGTTACATGAAATTATGCCACCAATTTTTGTTTCTGAAGGACTACAAAGGATTTAAGGAATATTTATTCTGTTTTGTTTAATGGATCATTGCAACTAATTTATATTCTACTTTTATATTTTAGCTCCTACTAAAAGGCCTAATACAATTACCAAAAAGCCAAGTAAGTATAGATTTTTGCAGTAAGCATTTTTTTTAATCATGTTATTTTGTGAATGTGATTGCATTTGAACAATAAATGGCTATGGTTCAAAAATATACTCCTTTAAGTTTGAGGAAAGTTGAAGACCAATAGAAGTAAAATCGAATATTTATGGTTTTCTGTTTCCTAGTCAGCATATGAGTATTCTCATATGTTCTTATTAGTCCTATCTACTATACGAGGTTTTTTTAAACCATGGATTTAAAATAGGGCAGTTTTTTAAAAAGAAAATCAAATATTTTTATGTACTTCATTTTGCAATAGCAACACATAGCACTTAGATTTATATACCGCCCCATAGTACTTTTCAGCACTTTCTAAGCATTTTACAGTGTCACTATATTGTCCCCAACAATCTAGGTCCACATTTTAATGACTTTGGAAGGAAAGAAGGCTGAGTCAACCTTGAGTCCAATCAGGATGGAAAACCAGGCTATGGGCTGGATACTAACCACTGCACCACCAGTTAATAAGTTGACTTATTAATGCTCTGAATAGATATTTGTCTTGAACCATTTAGGATGTTTTTTTCCTACTCATATAAGAAAACTCTTAAAATAATTATAAGATATATCAATGGAGTTCTAGTAAAGGCTTCATCAAAATTAATGCATATATTTCTCTATAATTTGTCCCATTTATTTCTTTGTGCAAATGGATTTGTTCCACTTTCCCTGTCTAAATTCTATTATATATATCTACATTTCCTTTCATGCACGATCACTAGCATCAAATTTGCGGATGACACCAAGCTGTCAGGAATAGCCAACACTCTAGAAGACAGGCTTAAGATACAGGAGGACCTGGATAGACTTGAACACTGGCCACTATCTAACAAAATGAAATTCAGTGGTGAAAAAAGTAAGATTCTACAGTTAGGCAAGAAAAACCAAATGTACAGGTATAGTATAGGGGGTACCTTGCTCAATAGTAGTAACTGTGAGAGGGATCTCGGAGTCCTAGTGGACAATCACTTAAATATGAGCCAGCAGTGTGCTACAGCTGCCAAAAAAGCCAACACAGTGCTGGGCTGCATTAACAGAGGAATAGAATCAAGATCATGTGAAGTGTTAATACCACATTACAATGCCTTGGAATACTGCATCCAGTTTTGGTCACCACGATGTAAAAAAGATGCTGAGACTCTAGAAAGAGTACAGAGAAGAGCAACAAAGATGATTAGGGGACTGGAGGCTAAAACATATAAGGAACGGTTGCTAGAATTGGGTATGTCTAGTTTAACGAAGAGAAGGACAAGGGGGGACATGATAGCAGTATTCCAATATCTCAGGGGCTGCCATAAAGAAGAGGGAAATAAGCTATTTTCCAAAGCACCTGAAGGCAGGACAAGAAGCAACGGGTGGAAACTAATCAAGGAGAGAAGCAACCTAGAACTAAGGAGAAACTTCCTGACAGTTAGAACAATTAACCAATGGAACAACCTGCCTCCAGAAGCGGTGAATGCTCCAACACTGGAAGTTTTTAAGAAGAGACTGGACAGCCATTTGTCTGAAATGGTGTAGGATTCCTGCCTGAGCAGGGGGTTGGACTCGATGACCTCCAAGGTCCCTTCCAATTTTTATTATTATTTTCGATCATCGCACAGTCAGCCAGATGTTCAGACTGGATTTGGCATTTTGTCTACCTATCGAGTCCTTACCCAGGACCTGGGAAAGGCAGATGTGGATGTTTGATGGTATTACAGATATCGTCGCAGGATGGAAGCAGTTCCTAGTAAGGCCGCCTTTTGCAATTGACTAATAGCGAATTTGTCAATGCCAATGGTGTTCAAGTGGTGCTCCAGTTGTTTTGGGATTGCACCCAAGGAGCCTATTACTATTGGTACTACCCTTGCTTGCTTTTGCCACAGTCTTTCTATTTCTATTTGTAGGTCTTTGTATTTTGTTATCTTCTCCAGTTCTTTCTCGTCTATTCTGCTGTCACCAGCCACTGCCACGTCCACTATCCAGACTTTTTTGTCTTTCTTATCGACAATTGTTAAGTCTGGGCTGTTACGTTGCAGGTGCTTATCTGTTTGAATTCTGAAGTCCCAGAGCAGTTTAATTTTATCATTTTCTATGACTTTCTCTATTTTATCATCCCACCAGTTTTGCTTACAGGCAAATGATATTTTTGCAGATCTTCCAATGCACCATTGTTGCTACTTTGTCATGCCACTGCTTGTAGTCAGTCTGTGCAATCTTCTTGCAACAGCTTACCAAGTGGTCCACTGTTTCTTCAGCTTCTTTGCATAGGCGGCACTTACTGTCTATTGTTGTCTTCTCAATTTTGACTTTATATGCATTTGTCCTTAAGGCTTGGTCTTGTGCAGCCAGAATTAGTTTTTTTTATTATGGATCATCGCACAGTCAGCCAGATGTTCGGACTGGATTTGGCATTTTGTCTACCTATCAAGTCCTTACCCAGGACCTGGGATAGGCAGATGTGGATGTTTGATGGTATTACAGATATTATTATTATTATTATTATGGATCATCGCACAGTCAGCCGGATGTTCAGACTGGATTTGGCATTTTGTCTACCTATCGAGTCCTTACCCAGGACCTGGGATAGGCAGATGTGGATGTTTGATGGTATTATAGGTATCGTCGCAGGATGGAAGCAGTTCCTAGCAACGCCGCCTTTTGCAATTGACTAATAGCGAATTTGTAGTCAGTCTGTGCAATCTTCTTGCAACAGCTTACCAAGTGGTCCACTGTTTCTTCAGCTTCTTTGCATAGGCGGCACTTACTGTGTGTTGTTGTCTTCTCAATTTTGACTTTATATGCATTTGTCCTTAAGGCTTGGTCTTGTGCAGCCAGAATTAGTTTTTTATATTATTATTATTATTATCATTATTATTATCATCATTATTATTATCATTATTATTATTATTATTATTATTATTATTATTATTATATCTAACTTTTTTTTTCTGTCTAGGTGATGGCTTCAACTTAGAAGATGCCATAGATGGTAAGTATTAGAAGTTGCCCAAAACATCACTCGTTAGAATTTACCTTACTTTCCTAGGTACTAGTTTTGTACAGTATAACTGAGAAAAACAGCTACATTTAAGACAACTTAAATGGTTCAGAATGGCTCTTGCCAGCCTCTGTAACTTGGGGGGAAATTTCTTCCACAGTAACCCATGAATACTTGTTGTTTATGCCATGCCCCTTAGAAGGCCTTCTTCTGCCTTTCTGCCTGTCACCTGCACCTAATCAGATTAGACCAGGGGTCTTCAAACTTGGCCCTTTTATGACTTGTGGAGTTCAATTCCCAGAATTCCTCAACCAGCATGCCTGGCTGAGGATTTCTGGGAGTTGAAGTCCACAAGTCATGAAAGGGCCAAGTTTGAAGACCCCTGGATTAGACAGTGTGATACGTATGTATTTGTCTTCAACTGTTACTTACATTATAAGAGCATTGCTCTTCTCACTTCGACTGTTTAAAAAAACATCAGGAAACTTAAGATCCAGTATATTGATAATCAGAAGAACTTAATGCTTTGGAGGCATGTTATCAGATTTCATCCTACCAAGATTCAAACTGGCATCAGAAACATTGATTTAGAATATTCAGAATTTATTAGGAAATCCAGGTGAATGTTATAAAAAAACAGTTAAGATTCAGAGAGTAAGTGGAAACAAAGGAGCAATGGATATGACCATCCAAAAAGAAAAATAAGCTCAAGGAAAAAATGCTTTGAAAAATACTCACTCTATACCTTGAACACTTGGAAAATAAAACCAGCTCCCTGATCCATAATTTGTCTAACTACTCTTTGAATATACAACTTTGGTTTGGATTATGTTTCTTTTTATGTCCGAGAAAATTTTATGTCACAAGATTCAGCAGACTTAAATTCTTTCTTTTGATTCTCCACAGCTAGCTGAAGCTTTTGGGAAAATTCACTGAACAGAAGCCCCCATCAAATTAATTTTTCCCAAATATAAACATGGTGTGTGTGTGTGAGAGAGAGCAGATTGTGTTTGCTAGAAAATTTAGCTAATTGGCCTTCTCAGAGGCTTCCAGATATCCATAGAAAGGATTTGTCTATTGATTGTATACACATTCTAAATCTGGCATTATAATGGAGCTTATGTTGCTAAGATATCCAATATATTCCTGGTTCATGTGCATTACATATTTTATTGGCTACTGTCCCCACCTTCTATGTATTAGGACAGTGATGGTGAACCTTTTAGGGACCGAGTGCCCAAACTGCAATCCAAACCCCACTTATTTATCACAAAGTGCCAGGGCTGCATCAGCACTGTGGTGTCCTCAGGGGGGGGCAGGGGGCATGGTCCACTGGGTGGGCATGGCTGCAGTGATCACGGCAGACTGGGTGAGCGTGGCCGGTACCTCACCATCTCTTGGGCATCCCTGGGGGGCCAACGCCACTTGCTCGCTCACTTTCTGCCCTGTCGCTTCCAAACACCACGTGCTCACTATTCTTGTAAACTCTGCTGGGCCAACGGCACGCGTGCCCACAGAGAGGGCTCTGAGTGCCACCTCTGGCAAATGTGCCACAGGTTCACCACCACTTTATTAGGGCATAGGTGGGAAACCTCTGTCCCTCTCCAAAAGCTGCAGTAACAGCAACATTTTTTCTAGTTATTGACCATGCTCACAGTGTCTTAAAAAAATCCATCATCTTAAAAAAATTGAAAAGCTTTCCAGTGTCTGTATAAATGAAATGTGCTGTGTATTAAGGCAGGGCTTTTCAGTCGGTGGTATGCGTACCACCAGTGGTATTCGAGCACCTGGCTGGTGGTACGCGTAGGACCGGTTGAAAAAAAATGTAAAAAAAATGCAAAAAAATGTAAAAAAATGTTTAAAAAAGTGTAAAAGTGAATGAGATGAAGTGGAAGCAATGCTGCACAGGCTTGTGGCAAAGTCAGCTGGAACTGCATGTTGCATGGGTCCTACTGAGAGCACAGGATCAAAGTGCGCAGCTCCAGCTGATTGGCGGCGGCCTTGGGGGCGGCAGGCAGCCTCACGCAGTTTTCAGTGGAGACTCCGCTGGAGCTGCACAACACATTGCTTGGGTCCTCCTGCCCTCATCCAGATGCCCTCACCTCCCCCAAGCATTTTTTTTACTCACCTGCTTTCAGCAGCATTCCCTTTTTCCTGTCCTTCTCAGCCTTCATGTGTTCCATGAGACTTTCTAACTTCTCGCAAGAAGTTAGAAAATCTCATGGGACTTTTTTTTCTTTTTTACAAACGTGGTGAAGGCAGAGAAGCAAACGAAGGCAGAGAAGCAGAAGGAGAAAGGGAGTGCAGTTGAAAGCAGGTGAATAAAAAAAAAGGCTTGGGGGAGGCGAGGGCTCAGCTGAAACGCCAGGATCAGCGCCCCTTTTCACCTGATCGGCACTTCTCCGGGGCTGTGAGGGCTCAGGGGAAGCGCCAGGATCAGCACCCCTTTCCACCTGATCGGCGCTTCTTCCAGCACTGATCCTGGTGCTTCTGGGCCCCGAAGAAGCACCAATCTACTGGAAAGTGGCATTGATCCTGGCGCGTCTGCTGAGCCCTGAAGAAGCGCCTATCACCTGGAAAGCAGCATTGATCCTGGCCCACACACTCACACACACACAAACATGTGCGAGCAGTTACAGCTGAAGGCGTTTCAGCCTTCAACTATGGCTCCCCAGTCCTCTGGTGCCTCGTTGGCTTAGACCAGCCGTCCATCAGAATCTATGCCCCATGATTGGTTGGCTCCCTCAATGCATCCCTCCCTCTCAGAAAGGGTTTGGCTCTTCATGTGGGCTTGCCCCCTCATAGGGCTCCTGATTGGCCCTGCACCCAGGCACCCTGCCCCCGGAGAGAAGCATGCCCAGGAAGTCCCTTTCCTGAGCTGGCCCCGTCCGAAGCGCATATGGCTGGGGAGCCGCACGGGCAGCCCCAGTATCTCCCCTGGGAGCAGCCTGCTGGAGCCTCCGCTGAGCGGGCCAGCCCTCCTGCAAGCCGCAGCCCTGAGACAGCGTACCATAAGCCCCTGCAATCCCCAGCCAGCGCTACTGTACGCCCCGCTGGCTGGGAAGGTGTGCCGGAGTCCTGGCTGCTGGTAAGGTGATCGACTTGCTCCTCTCCCATTGCCCGCTCTGCCCGGCTCGAGCCTGGCTGGAGCAGCATTGGTATTTCAAAAAGTGGCCACTTCAAATTCACATGGGCAGCCCTTGGCCAGTCACCTCCAAATCGATCCCCAATCGGAGAGGGAGGGAGGGAAGAAGGAAGAGAGGGAGAGAGGGAGAGAGAAAGAGAGGGAGAAAGAGAGAAAAAGAGAGGGAGAGAGAAAAAGAGAGTGAGGGAAAGGGAGAGAGAGACAGAGAGGGAGAGAGGTAGGGTGAGAGAGAAAGGGAGAGGGGGAGAGAAAGAAGGAGAGAGAAAGTGAGGGAGAGAGAGAAAGGGAGGGAGAGGGAGAGAGAAAGGGAGAGAAAAAGAAAGGGAGGAAGAGAGGGAGAGAGAAAGAAAGGGAGAGGAAGAGAGAAATAGAGAGGGGGAGAGAAAAAGGGAGAGAGAGCGAGAGAAAGGGAGAGAGAAAGAGACGGAGAGAGAAAGAGGGAGAGAGAGATTAAATTAGTAACATGGTTGTTAAGTGAATCTGGTTTCCCCCACTAGCTTTGCTTGTCAGAAGGTTGCAAAAGTCAATCACATGACCCTGGAACAATGTGACCATCATAAATATGAATCAGTTGCCAAGCATCGAAATGTAAATCACATGACCCTGGGGATGCTGCAATGATCATAAGTGTGAAAAATGGTCATAAGTCACTTTTTTCAGTGCTGTTGTAACTTTGAACAGTCACTAAGCAAACTGTTGTAAGTCAAGGATTACTGTACTTTATTACTTTTTTCCATTTTTTTTGGTCAAGTTTTTGACACCTCGCTAGGTGACTGGTGGTACTCGAATGTTGCTATATTCTAAAAGTGGTACAATCGGTGAAAAGGTTGAAAAGCCCTGTATTAAGGTAGCACAGTTCCCAAAGCAACTTTTTCAAAAAATCTGCATGTGTGAACAGAGAGAGCTTTTATTAACTTTCCATGTATTTGGAGCCATTCATATAGGGTTGATCATTTAAATGTTTTTTCTGGATAGCAGGCCAAAGAAAATTCATTAGTTTGTTTTTAAAAGTTGATACGCTATTCACTTTTGTGTCTTAATAACAAATTGCAATTAGATTGGTAAAAAATGAGAAAATGATATAGGCTACAAAATGGACTACCTTGAATTGAATTTGCCCCTAAACCATGGGTCAGCAACTCGCAGCTCCAGAGCCACCTGTGACTCTTTGAGCCTTCTCCTGTGGCTCCCAGTCCTCCTCCACCATTTGCAGAGAGAGACAAGAGACAGAGAGAGGCACTTGCGCTACCATTCTCTCTCTCTCTCTCTCTCTCTCTCTCTCTCTCTCTCTCTCTGTGTGTGTGTGTGTGTGTGTGTAAAAAAGAGAGTGGCCTCATGCTGTTCTCTGACAAGTTGACTAGATTATTGGGCGGGGCTCCTGCCTTTGCTGCATCTCCGCAGGAAGCAGCAGAAAGCAGCATCTCTCTTTTTCTCTCACACACACACACTCACACTGGGTGGGGGAAGAGGACTGGCAGACTAAGGGCAGGAGAGAGCCAGCCCAAGAAGAATGTATGTCAGCTTGTCGAAGAACAGCGTCAGGCCAGCTGGCCAGGTGAGCAGAAGATCGGAGAGAGGGGGGAGAGAGGGAGGGAGGAAGAGAGACAGACAGAGATTGAGGGAGGGAGGGAGAGAGAGAGAGAGAACTCATGCACAGCAGCCTCTATTTCTTTTTAATTAAACTCTTCAATCAAGCCCCCACCTCCAGCGTGTGCGCATGCACGTGCGAGTTTTGCGGCTCCCAGTGTTTTCTGTGGGAAACGGGTCCAAGTGGTTCTTTGAGTGTTTAAGGTTGCCGAACCCTGTCGTAAACCATCTTAGCAAATCGTTTAGTTTTAGTTTAGAAAATCTGTTTAGTTTTGTCTGGTTTGGAAACTGTCAATTTTTATTTGGTATTTTATTTTAACATTAATATTAATATATGTTGTAAAGTTTGGAATTCTATTTTTATTAATCACATTGAGTACTTCAAATTAAAGAGTCAAATTTAATAGATAAATGACATTGAAAATATTCTGAATTATATTCATGCCGCAGTCATTTCATTGTTCCCATGAAATATTTGGGAATAAGAAAGACGATAATAAAAAAATTAAAGTTTATGAAGAAGGTAAATATACTTACTTTGTTTTCATTACAGAATCATCAATGACATGAATTGCTCATTAAGCAAAGGAATGGCAGTTTTAAATTTAATATAAATTTGTATACATGCTGCCTATAAAAATATAAAAAGAGTACTAGTTCATCAGAAAACCTGGTCTTAAACTATTTAGATTTTAAATGACATAATAAATGCCTTATATGTGACATCAAGTAATATAAATATGATATAATATGTTCCCAATACTTAGATGGCTGAGCTTTTTATGTTTTGAATTTGATATGAGTTAATGGTTTTGAGTCTTCTTTAAAGATTGTTCCACTTGTATTGCAATAATCCTGTTGATTAGCATGATCTAATCAGAATATATGTTACAAAGGGTTAGGACATATGTCCTCCTTCAAGAAGAGGCATATATTTCCATCCAAACCAGTACCAGCTCGGAAGACTCCATTTTCAGGATTCCTTTTCATATTATTTTCCTGTATTCTTTTCACATGTGGCCTTACACACTTTACTTCCTCCTTCTGATTTCATGATAAAATTGAGAAGTATAGTTGCATGTAATTTACATACAGATCATATCATAGCCAAGACATGTATGAACTTTATAGATGATAACTAGAATCTTAAATTTGATTTTGGAAGCCCACTAAAAGCCAAAACAGGTGTTGCATGAGGGACTCAAATACACCCAGCAAGCTACCGTATATGCCGGCGTATAAGACGACTTCCGGAAGCGCTAAACTCGGCGCCAAAGACGGGGGTCGTCTTATACGCCGAGTTGTCTTATACGCCGGAAATACTGGTAGTTTCCGGCGTATAAGACGACGTTCTAGGAAGGCGACTCGGAGATAAAGACGGGGGTCGTCTTATACGCCGGGTCGCCTAATACGCCGGCATATACGGTATATATCAGGATCCAGTTATATTTCTTTTCTATCTATCTCCATCAATGTATAAGGGAATCCCTCAGATCCTATCTATTATACCTACTATCAATTTCTTTTAATAAAAGTTCCTGTTGGAAGAGACTGTTTCCAAGAGTTCTGCTTTCTTAAGATGTGGATTATATCAGATTTTAAATACATGATAGTATTTGAATAGAAAGTTTCACAGAGCTCAGGTATAACTGTTGTGTATATAAATACTTTTCTTTTTGCCATTGGCAAGATATTTATTTTGTTTAATTAATTCAGATAAACAGATAGCAATTTTCTAATTCTATACATCCTGTAATAGTATTAGATTACTTTTGATTTTGAAAAGACCATCTTTTCCCAGTCATATCTACCTGATCCACCATGGCAGAAAGGCAGGGAATGTTACAGGTTCCTAGCCCCTAAAGAGGCTGTGAGGAATAAAATAAATTCCACTTTAGCAAGGTTAAATATGGCTGTGCTTTGGCTATATGATGTTACCTTAAAATACTGGCTCTAAATAGTTTTTATAAAATATAAGATAATCTATATTATGAAAAATTATGCATTTCTTGTATACCTCATAAGGTCCATCTAGTGGGACCAAGAAAAAGGACCATCTCTGTAGTAGCTCTCTCCCTGTGGACCATCATCCCTGCAGAGATAAGATTGGCCCTCACTTTGACACTCTTTCACAAACCTCTGAAGGCATGGTTCTGCCAGTGAGCATGGAGACCCCAGAGTGATAGGGAGCCCATCATATAGTTGATCTGATTGTTGTTGCCAGAGGGGTGGGGATATATTGGTTTTGTTCTTTGTAAATCACCCAGGATCATCAAGAGTAAATTTGGCAGCCATATACATTTTCTAAATAAATAAATATATTTTCTAGTTTGAAAGTTGTGCTTATCTTTCTTTATCACTAGGTGGCGATGATTCCAAAAAAACAACAGCACCACCTCCTCAGCCTAAACCTGGAAGTCATGGCAACAGTGGGGGTAAGCTTTTTCAAAAAGTACATCTTTAGTGCCTAGTCATAGAATCATAGGGTTGAAAGGGACCTTGGAAGTCAAACCCCCTGCTCATGGCAAGAATCTTATATCATGCCAGTTGAATGGTTGTCCAGTCTATTCTTGAAATCCTGTAGTAATGGAGCACCCACAACCACAGGAGGCAAACTGTTCCATTGATTAATTGCTCTTACTGTCAGAAAATTTTTCTTTACTTCTAGGTTGTATTCTTCCTTCCTCCTTTCCTTTCCTTTCCTTTCCTTTCCTTTCCTTTCCTTTCCTTTCCTTTCCTTTTCTTGTCCTGCTCTCTTGTGTCCTAGAGAATAGATCAATTCCCTCTTTGTGACAGCCCCTCAAGTCCTGGAAGAATCATGTCGCCCTGATCCTTCTTTTCCATAGAGTAGACATACGTAGATCCCTGAACCATTTGTCATACAATTTAGCCTTCAGATCCTTTAACATTTTTGTTGTTCTTCTCTGTACATTTTCCAGGGTCTCAACATCTTGTTTGTATTGTGGGGATCAGATAGCATTCTCTTTGTACCTCAAAGAAGAGCTTTTGTTCTGTCTAAGTGAGGATTTCAATTTCAATATAAGATGCCTTAGGTGGTAACTATTAGACAATGTTCTTCTAATCACCACCTATTAAAATTTACCTTACCTTCCTAGGTACTAGTTTTGTACAGTATAACTGAGAAAAACAACTAATTTAAGAACTAGTCCAGAATGGTGAGCAGCGGGTGGGATTAGAAAACCTCCAGGATCTCTTGCAACTCTAGTTGAGAATGGTCCTTGTCACCTTTTATAACTTAGAGGGAGATATCTTCCACGATAGCCCACAAGTACTTCTTGCTTGTGCTATATCCCTTGCAAAACTTTCTGTTACCTTTCTGCCTGCCATCTCCACCCTAATCAGTTTAGATAGCATGATACATATGTACTTGTGTTCAACTCCTATATGTGCTATAAGAGCATGGTCCCTTTCCACTTCGGCTCTTTTCTCTTTTAGCACTTTAGTTTATGGTATCTTTGATGTTTTATGCTAGTGTCCATAAATAAAATGAATATGCTTTGGTTTTGAAAAGAGATGCTTAATATGTGTTCCCACATATTCTGAAATATCAATCAATCAGTCAATCAATCAATCAGAATAGAACTGAAAGGGACCTTGGAAGTCTTCTAGACCAATCCCCTGTTCAAGCAGGAGACCCTATTCTATTTCAGATAGGTGGCTGTCTAGTCTTTTCTTAAAAACCTCCAGTGATGAAGCACCTACAACTTCTGAAGGCAAGCTGTTCCAATGGTTAATTGTACTCACCGTCTGGAAATTTCTCCTTAATTCCAGGTTGCTTCTCTCCTTGATTAGTTTCCATCCGTTGTTTCTTGTCTTCACTTTTGGTGCTTTGAAAAATAAGTTGACCCCCTCTTTTTTGTGGTGGCGCCTATATTCCAGTATAGCAGTGTACTGGAATACTGCTATCATGTCACCTCTAATCCTTTTCTCCAGCATGACAATGGAGAATCCACAGATGAGTTGATCTTGTCTTCCTGCCCTAGAGACTAAGTCAATCAACCTTTGCCATGCCTCTCTCCTTAGGCTAGGAATCCCCAGTCACGACTTAGTCTTCGCCCAAGAGAGACATGGCAAAGCTTGGTTCTTAGTCTCAGGCAGAAGCAGTGATCAGGTTGTATTGTTCTTGCTTTTTGTTTCTCCCCCATTCCCTTCGCTGTGCTGTTAGCAGTGCAGCGCTAAACCGTCCAGTTCTTTTTTTTTATTGAAAATTTTAAAATATTTTTACAAAAAGCAAAAAACAAAAAAACAACCTTAGCCCACCCACCCCAACCCTCCCTCTCCATCCCCCCCTGACCTTCCCAGAGCTAAATATAGGCTTAATTAAAATTTTTAAGAATCTTAAAAAAATTGAAAAAATATAAATCATAAATATATCTAAATACCTTACATAAACAACTTATAGAGTAATTAACAATAAAATATATGTAAGAAAAAAGCATAAGTATTAAAAAGAAAAAGTACTTGAAAGAAAAAGAGATAATAAAAAAAGAAAAAAGAAAGAAGAAAAGAGATATAAAAAAGTACAATCTATAAAATATTAAAGTTTATATACAAGTTATTAGAAAGCTAAATGATATTTTTTATATCCAATTTATATTGTATAAAATTTATCCATTTTTCCCATACCGCAAAGAATTTCTCTTGCGATTGCTCCTTTAAGAAAGCCGAAATCTTTGCCATTTCTGCCAAATAAGAAACTTTAAAAAACCACTCTTGCAAGGTAGGCAAGGATTCCTTCTTCCAATATTGCCCTACTAACAGCCTAGCGGTCGTAATCAAATTTAACATCAATATAACTTCCTTAGCATCACAATCAGTAACAATACCTAACAAAAACAATTGGGTAAATTTTACCCTCTTTCTAAAAATTCTTTGAATATTCCACCATATCTTAATCCAAAAGACTTTTATATTTTTACACGACCACCAAATATGATAATAAGTAGCATCCAAACAACCACATCTCCAACATTTAGGCTGTAGGTCAGGATACATAAGAGACATTTTTTGTGGATCAAGGTGCCATCTATAAAACATTTTGTAAAAATTCTCCCTTAAGTTCTGGGCTTGTGTAAATTTAACATTCCTCACCCAGATATTCCCAGGTATCCAGTAGAACTGGTTCACCAAAATTTTGTGCCCATTTAATCATACAATCTTTGATTAGTTCTGATTCTGAATCCAGTTCTGCTATTTTCCAAAGCACCTGAAGGCAGGACAAGAAGCAACGGGTGGAAACTAATCAAGGAGAGAAGCAACCTAGAACTAAGGAGAAACTTCCTGACAGTGAGAACAATTAATCAGTGGAACAGCTGCCTCCAGAAGCAGTAAATGCTCCAACACTGGAAGTTTTTAAGAAGAGACTGGACAGCCATTTGTCCGAAATGGTGTAGGGTTTCCTGCCCGAGCAGGGGGTTGGACTAGATGACCTCCAAGGTCCCTTCCAACTTTACTACTATTACTATTACTAGAACCCCATAAATTCTCTTAATATGGGTTCGCCTTTGATCTTTTACTTGTTTAAAAAGATTTTCATCTTCTCTAAGCAAGCCCGTATTACGATCCATCTTCCATCTATCCACTATTTGTCTATACTGAAACCATGAATAGGTAATATTTTCATGTACTAAATCTTCCAAAGATTTTAACTGCCAATTTTGACCATCCCATCTAAGTAGTTGTGTATAAGAAACCCTATCCATCTTAACTCCTCTCCTTATCCCCTCTATCGCATGCCAAGGTATAGCCCATAATGGTATTTTAAAATCACTTTTATAATATTTCCTCCAAACCCGAAGTAAAGAAATCCTTATAATATGAGATTTAAAAACCCGGTCCACTTTTTTATTAAAAATTAGATAGACATGCCATCCAAAAAGTAAATCCCAACCCTCCAAATGGAGTATTTCTAAATTTGTTAAATTAACCCAATCACTAATTAGTGTTAAAGCCACAGCATCATAATATAATTTCAGATTCGGTACCTTGAGTCCACCTCTCTCACGGAAGTCTTGCATAATTTTAAGCTTTACCCTTGGTTTTTTCCCTGCCCAAATAAATTTGTTAATACCTTTCTGCCATTCATTTAAATTAACCTCATTCTTTAAAATAGGTAACATTTGAAATAAAAAGAGAAATTTTGGCAGGACATTCATTTTAATCACTGCAATTCTTCCCATAAGAGATAACTGTAACTTCTCCCAATTTTTCAAATCTTTTTGTACCCTGACCCACAGCCTTTCATAATTGTTTTTATACAATTTTACATTAGAAACAGATAGGGTAACCCCCAAATATTTTATCTTATCAACAACTTCAAAGTCTGTCAGATTAACCAAAATCTGCTTATCCAAATTAGTCATATTTTTAGATAATATTTTAGTCTTATTGTTATTAATTTTAAAACCCGAAACCCGTCCATATTGGTAAATCAGTTGTAATAAATTTACTACAGAATAGGTAGGTTGAGACAAAGTAACCACCAAATCATCTGCAAAAGCTCTTAATTTATATTCTTTTTTGTTAACTTCTATTCCTTTTATTTCCTGCAACTCTCGAATTTTGATCAGCAAAATTTCCAGAGTTAAAACAAACAGTAACGGTGACAATGGACATCCCTGTCTTATACCTTTTTCTATTGTAAAAACCTCTGACAAACCCCCATTAACAATAAGTTGTGCCGTTTGTTTTTGATATATAGCACCAAAAGCTTGTGATATTTTTTCTCCAAAATTCATTTCCTCAATTAATCTTAACATAAACTGCCAATTCAATTGATCAAAAGCTTTTTCAGCATCTAAAAATATCAGCCCTGTGGAGATTTGGTTATTCTTATCTAAATATTCTAATAAATTAATAATTTGTCTAACATTATTCTTCACATACCTACCAGTTATAAAACCCGATTGATCCTTATGTATAAGCTGATGCAAAACCCTCATAAGCCTATTAGCTAAAATTTTTGCAAAAATCTTATAATCTACATTTAAAAGAGATATAGGCCTATAATTCTTTGGTAAAGTGAGATCTTGATCCTCTTTTGGAATCAAAGATATAAAAACTCTACGCCATGACGGAGGAATCTCTGAGCCCTGTAATATATTATTAAAAAGCTCACATAAAGGTTGAATCATCTCTTCTACCAAGGTTTTATAATAAATGGATATCAAACCATCCGTACCCGGTGCTTTACCTAATTTTAATTGCTTAATAACTGTCACAATTTCCTCATTGGTAATTAGACCATTAATTTCTTGTTTCTGATCTTCTGTTAATTTAGGGAAGTTGGCCTCACTTAAGTAATTATTTATATCTAAAGTTTGTACATTAGTACTCTTATATAATTTTTGATAGTAATCTAAAAAGATTTCTTGATCAACTCCTTCTGATACTCTAATTTACCATTATAATTTAT